AAGCCTAGCCTTAAAAGTAGACAGGGTGTCTGCCTCACGGACTAAAACTGGTAGTTGGTTCCACAGGAGAGGAGCCTGAGAACTAAAAGATCTGCCTCCCATTCTATGAACATCAGGAACGATGCTCCTTTTTTAATGTTTAATGACTTACAGAGATCAAGATCAGACGAAGGACTCTTCATTCAGACGTTTATTCTTTTACATTTTTACAAATCTGGAAACAAAAGTGCGACGGAGTGAGTTCTGTCAGAGCCACGGTTTGGATGATCTGAAGATTAGCTTCGTTTTAGGTTCACAGGGTTAAAATCCCTCCACTCTTCCACAGACTGGGTTCCAGTTCATGTGCAGCATCAGCAGCTTCACCACAGAGAAAAACACCACAGAGAGGAACCAAAGATGAACACTGAGGTGGAGGAGTGGCGTCTGGAGTTGGGTGGAGCTAAATCATCTAAGAACCAAGCTGCTACAGGCGAGCGTCAGGATCAGCAGGTCGTCCAACGATGGCAACAGGAATATGGCAACAATAAAAGTACAGGAAGGCAGGATCACATCCATACATGTTAAATAAAGCCATGAAATAATGCTGATAAAATGAACTAAACTGGTCCCAGTTATTGACCTCCAGCCATCACTGGTCCTCCCTTCTGCTTTAATGAGGAAGCAGGAGGATGATGATGATGATGCTCGGTGAGGGGGGGGGGCAGCTCCATCAGTCTGTGCTCAGTTAAACATGATGGACTCTGGATCCTGGTTCATCATCTGGGCCATGTGGCGCAGGACGTCCTTCTTGGTGATGATGCCCAGCAGACGCCTGCAGGGACAGTTTATCAACGTTACTACTTAGACCGAATTAAACTATCTAAAACTGAGACTAAACACAAATATCTGGATTATTAATTAAATCTCATTAACAGAATAAGTTTAAAACTGAATAATTAAGCCCTGCAGGCCGGTACACAAGCTGATATCTGATTATAGAAAGGTCCAAAGCACAGTCACCTGGTGTTTCATCCACACGCCTTTCTAACGGGGCTTTAACATTTCTAAAACATGTTTCAAAATATTTCTTTTTTTTTCACAAAAACTGAGATTAATTTCAGAATTATGAGAAATAAAAGTCAGAATTCTGAGATTAAAGTCGGGATTTTGACTTTTATTCCCATATTAAAGGGAAATAATATGTGAAAAACATGTTAAATATTTATATATATATATTTTTTTTTAGTGGCCCTAATGCTCTTCCGTAGAAATGGGTTTCCGTACATTATAGACAAAGTTGCAGCTTTAAAGAAAAAAGCCTCGCGGGCCCGGTACCAGACGACACCTGCTCATGTTTATCTATTTACAGAAACGACCAAAGCACAGTCACATGGTGTTTCATCCACACACCTTTCAAAACGGGGCTTTAAAATTTCTAAAACATGTTTAAAAATATTTTTTTTTCACAAATACTGAGATTAATTTCAAAATGAGAGAAACAAAAGTCAGAATGCTGAGAAAAAACGGCAGAATTAGATTAAAGTTGGGATTCTGACTTTTATTCCCATATTAAAGGAAATAATATAAAAAAAAATGTTAAATGTTCTATAATATATGGAAACCCAGAAATGGGTTTCCATATATTATAGACAAAGTTGCAGCTTTAAAGAAAAAAGCCTGGCGGGCCTGGTACCGTAGAAACCTACGGAGCCCCTAAAGGGACATGGAGGGGAAAAAAGAACTTTTGCGAGATCTCGCAAAAGTATTGCGGGATCTCGCAAAAGGTTATTTTTTGCGAGATCTCACAAAAGTTTTGCGGGATCTTGCAAAAGTTTATTTTTTGAGAGATCTCGCAATACTTTTGTGAGATCCCGCAATACATATGCAGGATGTCGCAATACTTTTGCGAGATCCTGCAATAGTTTTGCGAGATCTCGCAAAAGTTTATTTTTTGCGAGATCTCGCAAAGGTTTTGTGGGATCTCGCAAAAGTTTATTTTTTGAGAGATCTCGCAATACTTTTGTGAGATCCCGCAATACATATGCAGGATCTCGCAATACTTTTGCGAGATCCCGCAATAGTTTTGCGAGATCTCGCAAAAGTTTATTTTTTGAGAGATCCCGCAATACTTTTGTGAGATCCCGCAATAGTCTTGCGAGATCTCACAAAAGTTTATTTTTTGAGAGATCTCGCAATACTTTTGTGAGATCCCGCAATACATATGCAGGATGTCGCAATACTTTTGCGAGATCCCGCAATAGTTTTGCGAGATCTCACAAAAGTTTATTTTTTGCGAGATCTCTCAAAAGTTTTGCGGGATCTCGCAAAAGTTTATTTTTTGAGAGATCTCGCAATACTTTTGTGAGATCTCGCAATACATATGCAGGATCTCGCAATACTTTTGCGAGATCCTGCAATAGTTTTGCGAGATCTCACAAAAGTTTATTTTTTGAGAGATCTTGCAATACTTTTGTGAGATCCCGCAATACATATGCAGGATCTCGCAATACTTTTGCGAGATCCTGCAATAGTTTTGCGAGATCTCGCAAAAGTTTTTTTTTTGCTTATCTATTTACAGAAACGACCAAAGCACAGTCACATGGTGTTTCATCCACACGTCTTTCAAAATGGGGCTTTAAAATTTCTAAAAAATGTTTCAAAATAATTTTTTCCAAGTGCTTTTTGTTTTTTAGCTGCGTAAACAAATAAAATGTGCTTTAAAATCCCAGCTGACATGTGTGACTCTGCAGGAGTAATCCAACAGCAGGTACTGATCTTTAGCCCCGCCCCCTAATGGCCGCCATCATTGGAAACTAGAGGCTCAGACCTTTCCAAGGAGGGGTCAGAGGTCATTGTGCGACCATTCAGACCATTTTTCCCATAATTTTGCCACTTTAGGCATTGCGCTAAAATCCCATTTCCTCCTATCACCCTGCTCACTAAAACCTTTATGGAACAAACATCCATAAACTGATTCAGTCCAGATTAGCTTGAGTTCTAGTCCAGATGTGGATCTATAAAGTCTGAGGTTCATCCAGAGATTCTAATGAGCTTTCATGGTGTTTATTTTGGAAAATTTGCTATTTTGTTTTCATTTTTTCTTTGTTTAATCACCTATAAATCCGACGGGGTGACATTTAAAATAGTGATTCCACCTGGAAAATATTCCTTCATGACTTTCTGTCACACAAATAAAAACAATTCTATTTCCAATTTATAGTTTGGGAGCTGAACTTGCTTTAATTTATCTAATTTCAGGTGGAAATTGCTCCTAAGACCCTCTGGGCTTAAAGGGTTAAGTGACTATTTTAAAAACCTGGAACATATAAATAGATATACTATTATTTGGCCACTAGATGGAGCTGTTTCACCCCTTAAAAAAGGAGTTTGTTTTGTTTTTCCACCATTATTTTGATATTTTTTGCAGATAAAAAAGGTAATGAAAAGCATAGAGTAAGATAAATTATTTAAACTTCAAACTGTAGTGATTCCTCTATTATCAAATGAAGCCGGACTGACCCGCTCCGGGTGACCAGGCACTGCCGGAGGCCCAGTTTACGGAAGATGTCCACCACCGTCTCCATGGGGGTGTGGTCGGTGACGGTGAAGGGGCTCAGGTTGAGGATGCGCCGCAGCTTCAGCGGCTGAGGGTTGCTGGCCGGCAGCTGCGGTGCGTCCTCGGTGAAGTACACCACGGAGCTGCTCACCACGCCGTCCTGCTTCTGCCGCGCGTTTTCTGAGGAGAGATATCATGATTTCCACCTGAAGGAAAACACAGATCCGTGCCGGTCATGCTAAGAGACGTACTGATGGCGAGGGTGAGGTCTCTGCGTTGAACGAAGCCGATCAGCCTCTCCGACTCCCGGGACACGACCACCGGGAAGCCGTTGTAGTCCGTGTCTTTGATGAGCGTCTCCACATCCTCCACGGTGGTGCTGTCCTGCGTGAGGACGGCCAGGGGAGGGTCGTTCCGGCGGGGCCGCATCACGTCGGTGGCCAGGGTGCGGTGCGTGAACTCGTCCCTTACGTCCAGGTAGGGGTAGCCGTTAAGCTGGATGTGAGACTCGTAGATGCCCTCCTTCCCAAAGGCGTCAGCCACCCACTTACTGGTGACGGCGGCGGCCATGAGAGGGACGATGTACTCCAACCCGCCCGTGAGCTCGAACATGATGACCACCAGGGAGACGGTCATCCTGGTGACCCCACCTGAACAGATGCAACAGAGGTAAGACGCGGACGAGACGTAGAGCCTCTCAGAGTGTCTCTAGTGTTTGTTGACTCACCCAAACAGGCAGCAGCGCCCACCATGGCGTAGAGGCCTGGCGTGACGCAGTCTGCGCCAGGCCGGCACCAGTTCTTGAAGATAATCCAGTCATGGTGGTGGTACGCCATCTGCTCCACGGCGATACCAACGATGCGCCCAGCGATGGCCCCCACAGCCATGCTGGGGATGAAGAGTCCGGATGGGATCTGGGAAGGATGGGAGAGGCTGGGTGGGTTATCGGCTAAATGAATGGAAGGACACCTGAGGACCGGAGCGGAGCAAACCTTCATGCCAAAGGTGAAGATGGTGATGACGATCTTGAAGATGAGGGCGAGGGTGAGCTGCCACATGGCGTTGTAGACCCCAGGCCCGGCCGGGCGGTCTGGAATGTCGTCCACCGGCCGACTCATGTTGGGATTGCTGATGTAGTCGCAGAGCTGGGAGGACTCCAGAGCGCCGCAGTCGTTGAAGAGCTCCGAGATGAGCTCGCTGGTGCTGCGCCGGGTGTACGGGTTCGGGTACGCCAGCAGGGCGGTGATTCCCGTCACGGCGATCACCTCCAGGACGGGGTACTTCCCCAGCTGGGTGGTCTTCCTGCAGCGGCACCAGGCGATGTTGGCCCGGATGAACAGCGTCCCCCAGAGGCCGCCGAACACCCCCAGCAGGATGAAGGGGACCAGCTCGGCCATGTACCAGGGGGTGTGGTACTCCACATAGAACAGCACCAGGCGGCTGTTTCCAAACGGGTTGATGGAGCGCAGCGTGAAGGCGGCGACCAGAGCGGCAAAGAAGGAACGCCACAGGGTCTTCAGAGGGAAGTAATAACTCACCTGCAGGAGAGAAGCAAACGGTTTAGACCCGGGGAGGGCAATTCCAGTTCCTGAGGGTCGGTACCCTGCAACTTTTAGATGTGCCTTTGGTTCGACACACCTAAATCAAGTAATTCGATGATTGAGAGGACTGACTGCACGCTGAGGAGGTAACCGTTTGATTCAGGTGTGTTGGGCCGAGGATGGATCTAAAAGTTGCAGGACTTGGAATTTCCCACCCCTGGTTTAGACAGAGAACAAAGTGAGATCTGGAGAAAACAGATCCTAACCAACCTCTTCCAGGCTGAACAGAACGCCTCCAATCGGGGCTCCAAAGGCCACCGAGACGCCGGCCGCCGCCGCCGCTGACAACACCTGCAGGGTGACGACACGAGAAATGAGAAACTGACTTTACCGCACAGGAGACCAGAACTTTATATCATTATTTTATTAATAACTGTTTAGGGTTTATTTCATTTTCTCTCTGCTGAACAGATTCAGTTCGGTTGTTTATATAGAGATGTCTCCTCGTCACGCTGCCGGTTACACCCATATCCCCACATCGTGGGACCATAAAACCCTTTCTTATCTTATCTTATCATCTTCAACAACAACAGACGTTATTTTATTTCAGTTCGTTTATACTGTAGATTCTCACAGAGGACCTTAGAACAGGGACTGGAAGTGGAGGTTTTTGCCAGACAGCAATACAGGTTTATACGTCTGATGACATCTGAATGAAAACAGAGACCTTCTTCTAACATATAAAACCCGAAATGACCAAATTTCCTTCTGATATCAGAGAACGGATGGTTCCTTATGTT